ACGCTGAGTCACATTTGTCCAGCCCGGGGATCAAACACCTGACCTGTCGTGTAGCTGCAGGACATGCTTCCTACTTGGCAGTCAGATAAGCAATTTTACCTGATTAATTAAGAATTATTTTATATTTAACATTAGTTGTGCTATCTAACTTTTAAAGAATAAAAAAGCTCATTTGTTTGCCAAAAACAATTAACCTAACTTGCATATTCTGTCTAGATTTCCTTTCTTCCATTCATTTGAATACCTTGAGAACAATCTCAGATATTCAAACTTAATTTAATATCTATGCGTCTTCGTGTAATGTGGAATAATAAACACAGAATTGCATTTGTTGCTAATTGAAGCTCACTGTTGATGTGATGATCACAATTGTCGACCAAAGTTGCTCATGCTGGCTATGTTTTAAAGAATACAGTGTATTCTATGAGGTTTTAATTAAACAAGACACAGCATTTCCGAACACAACCATAGTAGGAATACAACAGGAGAAAAATAATTTTAAAAAAACTTTGAAAGTTTGTGTTAAAAAAATAGATGATGCAATGGACAAAAAACGGTTTGTAATTCACGTGGATAGCGCAATCTACAACATTAACTGAAATGCCTTAGATAATTTTAGCCTAGCTTACACCATCCTTTATACATTAATCGCGCATGCGCATAAAGTTTGTAGCTTTGAGGTCTGGATTATAGATCATTTCGGATTATGGACAGACACTTCAGAATCTAAAAACCCACAAGCCATTATGCACAAAGATGCTGTAGACACCTTAAATAAAATGATTTCAAGATAAACTAATAGGTGGCCAGTCATTTGTATTTTCAAATATTCTTGATATTTCAGCTGCAAATGCTTACATACTATTCCTAGCAAAAAATCCTAATCGGAACCAAAAATCACAGAGAAGACTGAGTTTTCATTGAAGCTTTAGGCATGACGTTAATAAAAAACCATATTTGTAAAAGAGATGTGCTTCTACAACAAGAAGCTGCAGCTAAATTAGTGGAAAGCGTGCAAGAGCAGTCAAAAGACTGGAAATTCTACTGCCAAAACACAGAGCTCTGTGAACACAAAGAGAAAAAGAGGTAGCTACTATCTCTGTACGTCAGACAATTTCAAAATGTATGCATGAAGTGTGGTAAATACATATGCAAGTCTCGCTTGAATGAAATATGTATGAAATGCACTTTTATAGTTACTCGGTGAAGAATATTTTACTACATTGGAAATAGAATCATAAATCAGGTAATTTTGCTTATATATATACGACAAAAATGAAAAATATATGCATTTTTTGCTCAAGTTACTATTATTTTCTAATATCAAAGATGTCTGGTAAATGTAATAAAACAATGACCGAACACAATGTGAGTATAGACAAAGATGATCATAAATTTTTAACTCTGAAAAATCCAAGTCGCCCAATCTTGAACATCAGTTCTGTCGTGACACTGAATTTTACTCCAAATAACATTGAAAGGTATAGCCCAATTTTCCTTTCAAATAAAATCTTTATATATTTCTTGTCAAAGAAATGTGTACGCAGGGATACACAATTTTTATATTTACAAATGGATGCAAGTAAATAAAGTTTAGCAGTATTAGCATCTGAATGCCAAATATTGTTTATAACCTTTTTTGAATAAAAACTGGTAAAAAGTGTTTAAAAGTAATTAGTTTAATTGGCATGACAGCTGCTATCCAGTAATTTACCAATGTTGTTCCGAGTCTCTCTCTCTCACACATACCTACTTACTTGTCGTTCACTAGTTATCTCACTTGCTGATGGAATAAAAGTTTTGTATTTAAGTGACACACATATGAGTAAATACCATAATGTTCATTTAGAAAGCCAGAAAAGAATATTCTAATAAATCATTCAATTAAGGCTAGTAATTTACAAAACGAAAATATACCCATTCCCAAACAGTAAGGAATTGGCAATTATTGAAACTACGATGAAATTATATTTAAAAGCCAAAATTCTGCAGCATAAATCAGATCAATCAACAGTACATGATTATAAAGTTAAAACTAAAGTAGAATGTGTTTATTAATTATAATCAAAAGCTAATTCAGTAGTTAAAGTGGCCAGCTGACAACTATGTAAGATGTGTTTGCAGTCTTTCTAAAAACTGATTCAGAAATGGTGTAATTTTTTTATGTGAATATTTTATAAGCTATTAATTCTTCTATTTGCTATCAAGTAATACTAGACTCATTTATGGGATATGAAATATAATACTCCGATATGAAAGATCTAGAATCAGGCTCTGCATGCTACATTTTCTTGCTTCAACTTACTGAAAATACTTGTAGCACTGCTGGTGCTTATAGTGAACCTAGTTGGTAACGTTTTCAAAATAAAATTCAAAGACAAGCATCCTAACCAAAATAAAAAATAATTTCACACTCGAATGAAAAGTGCATATTAAGGTACTATAAAATATATACAGTACAAAGTCTGTAATCCAGACGTCCATAAGCCGGACCTCAAAGCTACGCGCATGCATAAATGCATGAAAGTCCACTATATATGACACAAGAAAAAGGAACTTTTTGAATTTTTTGTGGAAGCATCTTAAACAACTTACATTGAAAGAAATGTTTAATAAAGTAAACAAATAAATATTAAGCTTTTTTTTTTTTGTAAATTTTGATACCCTTTAGATCATAATTGTTCTTTATTTCATAAATTACGATTTTATATTTATAATTGTATAATTTTTGCATGCCATCTTACCAGATTTAAATTGATGATCTATAATCCGGAATTGCCAAAGTCACGACGAGTCCGGATTACGGACTTTGTACTGTATACAGTCAAAAGTCGTTAATTCGGACACCCATAATCCGGACCTCAAAGCTAAAAACTTTCTGCGCATGCGCCGCGTTGGCACATGCGTACAGGTATTTTACGCGTGCGCGTAAGACCTTGACTACTGCGCATATGCGTGTGCGCAAGTGCAGAATACGTTTTCGCCTGCGTGTTTAATGTATAACGGACGGCGTAAGCTAAAATTATCTAATTATCTATTTCAGTTAATGTTAATGATTGCGTTGTTCCTTAATCTTCGAATTGGATCCCGCTTATTATTTTTTTGCAGACTGTAAGAGCAATTTTATAAAAGTAAACTTTCGATTATGTCAAATAGAATTTCCGATGCTGGAACTTCCAAAGGATCTACAAAACGAAAGTATGTTTCGATGTCCAACAAACAAAAAGTGGAATTACTGCAAAAAATGGATAAAGACATGAAGAATGTGACAGAGAGGTTAGTGAAAACGAAAAAATTTCGATTGACAAATTAGTCGGTATTCTCGGCACAGCAATTAACGAGACTTGAACAGCGGAACTTTGTAACTGAACAAGAAATTATGTCTTTTTATGGAATTAAAGAGAAAGTATTATCACATAAAAATGAAGCAACTTAAACAACTTACATTGAAGAGAAATGTTTAATAAAGTAAACAAATAAATATTAAGCTTTTTTTTTTTTTTTGTAAATTTCGATACCCTTTAGATCATAATTGTTCTTTATTTCATAAATTACGGTTTCATATTTTTAATTTTAGAATTTCTGCATGCCATCTTACGAGATTTAAACTGATGATCTATAATCCGGAAAAATCGATAATCCGGAATCGCCGAAGTCCCGACGAGTCCGGATTAATGACTTTTGACTGTATATATCCTGTAAATTATAAACAGATGGAATTTTTCATTCGGAGCTGTCATTTATCCAAGTGAACAAATGGAACATATTCTTATTCTTGGTTTTATCTATTAATTTTAGGGTGAAAAATCTTAAAGGAATATTTTGAAAATAAAATGTAACTATATAGGTTAAAATATTTTCTGTTTCCATAAAAAAAAATTATGAAACAGGTTCAGAATCTAAAATCATCTAAATGTACATTCATTCACATCTTATAGAATCAGTCAGATTGGTGGTCTTCAAAATAGGGGTCATGACTCTAATTTGGAGTCACAAGGTTGCTGAAAAACTGCATAACAGGGGATCAAACATATTATAAAATATATAATCCTAAGAATTTTGGGCCAAAATATGGCTCGAGCACCTAAAATGGGATCACAATCCTAATAAGTTTGGGAACCACTGGGTCAGATAATTTAAAATCTTCTTAGCACCAAAGTGATGGTTATTAAGGAAATATCACGCAATGTATTTTCAAACAAATAAGAATAATGAAGTTGATCAGAAGGACACAATATTAATGACAGCAGCAGAAAAGAATAGACATAACTTGACACTAGAACATGCTATCCAATACAACAAATTAATCTTATTAGCCTATTTATAGATTATTTTGTTCTTTTGTAGGTGAAACTTAACATCAGAAATGTAAAATACCATGTTTTAAAGACATTAAAAGATGAGTTCTCGTGATAATTAATCAAGATTGATGCTAATATCATACAGATTTTAAAAGCATAAATACTGAGATATTTTAGTAGCTATAACATCACAGTTACAGAACAGAATATAAAAAAACTCAAGGAAGAAATTACTGAGACTGCAGTAACATTAACTTTTGGGTACCCCCTCCAAATCATAGCAGTTTAGAAAAAATTGATATTTATGTATTTTCGCTTTTGTATTTATTTATGTATTTTTGCTAAACAATGATTTGTATTTTTGCCAATAAATGCAAAATTTCTATTTTTTAATGTGAAAGTTATGTATACCTATAGCAGTTTAAAAAAAATGGTATTTATGTATTTTCGCTTTTGTATTTATTTATGTATTTTTGCTAAACAATGATTTGTATTTTCACCAATAAATGCAAAATTTCTATTTTTTAATGTGAAAGTTATGTATACCTAGTCAGATGGAACGATATTAAAATAAATTATTTGATGAAATTTTCTACTATACTGGAAATCAGAATTTTGTTAATATATTAAAGTTTAAAAACTGATGATCTTTTAGTATATTAATTTAAATGATAAAATAATCTGAAATCTAATTGGACATGAAGTGGAAGTGAATAAATTTAATTGACATTAAGTAAATAAACCAATATGAAAGTACTTAAGTATAAAGTTTCAATAATCATTTTTTCTTCTTTTCAGACAATAGCCTTGAGTGTAATTTTGATACTTCTGGCTCAAACAAATCACATAAGAGAGTCCCATTAGTGTCAAACCAACAACTTATACACTTTTCCAATTCGACTTCGTATGTTTTGTTCGTTACACCATCTGTATGAGATATGTATAAATGGTACATATCATCAAATCTGAAACAAAAATGATACTAAATTAATTTTAACAATTTTTAATAAAAATATCTAATATGTATACAAGTTTAATGAAATGTTGTATGATCTTAAATTCACTTAGTTCGAAAACAAGTTTTTCTCTAATTGATTTATTAACCAGTCTTAAAAGAGCAGGCGTTAAATACTCACTCAATCATTTAACTGATAGGGATATGATAATTTGTTCCTAAACCTGAGAAAGTGGTATAAGTTGGATGACTATCAGTTGGAGGATTTGTACACGGTGTAATTACAAAATTGTATATGATGTAAAAAGCTAATTGTTTTAAGACTTTTCTTACGCTGTTACTAAAAAAAATGAGCCTATTTTATAATCTTTAGCCTGTCCAATAGCTCGCTAACAGTGAAAATTACTTTTTTCCTTTCCTAAATTTCTTCCTTGTTCTGACACAACAATTAGTCAGAAATTAATTAATTTCCATTCACTAGCTAGTATATTCAAAACTTTAACAGATGTTTTCACTCACATAAGAACTCCGCAACAAACGTCCCTCAAGCATTCCTAGTCCCTTCCATGTCCCATAAATTACTTCTCACACTTGAAATAATTCAAAGTATCCCCGCTGCCAATAACGAAATTTCGAACACACACCCCTTCTGAGTAAGACATCGATACCGACATCTCACTAGAAAGAACATAAGTTAATTTATTTTCTGGCCTTTTATATCTTCATGTACATTTAAAAAAAATTTTCTTATATATATATATATATATATTAATTTTTCAATTTTTATCATTTGATTTGTTTTTGCAAAGATAGCATTATGTTTCTTAATTTTCTAATGTTTATTTCAATTACTTAAGAGTTCTATTTCATAATTCCAATCAAGATTAATACTAATTTTTATACAAATAGTTTTGAATTAAGATGCATAAAAGCGAAGGTGCCAGAGGACATTTACTCAAGTATTTTATAAATTTTACTACATAAATTGCTTTTCACTCAAAATTTGTATTAGCGAAAATGCTTAATTCAGAATGAGTTCTTTGGTACTCTACTTTGGTCTAAATCTCATCACTTCACGGAACTATTTGGCCTAACTTAATTTGCCAATTTGGCATAATCATTCTTACTTGAGTAAAAGACGAAACACCTTCATATTTATTAATTATTGTTCACTGAACGGGAGTTGGTTTCTTCCCCTTGAAAAGTCAACTAATTTCCGATCAATAGCAATAATTACTTGCTTTGAATTTAATTTCTTTTTCAAAGTTTGAAATTTTGTTATTCATGATTTAATTCAAGTCCCCGTTAAACATTTTTAATAATTTACATTCAAGTTACTTTAAAACACAATTTTCGGAATTAAACTTTTTACATATGGGTTCACTCATTTTTGATACTTAGGAGATATTATTGATATTAGGAGATAATATAATCAATATTACTTTAGTAAATAAGTTTAATAAAAAGTATATTATCAAAACAGACTACATAATGACATTATTCAGATAAATCCATATTAAAACTCTTGCTCTTTATTATGCCCAATTATTTCTTTAAACAAAAATAAGATTTTTAATACTGTTTCGGTTACTGAAGCCAGCTGCCATATGGTTGAACTGGCTCAACTCCCAAAAAAGCATCGATGTCTCTCTATCCATGAATGTAATACTGATTGCATCCTCAACAATATTTTCAGGAAAGAAAGCAGTGATTAATTAGGTAGGTCATTACCAGCAAATGCTTACTAAGCAATAACAATCTGGCTATTGGATTAAAATTAATTTTGCTTATCTGAAAAGTTGCTTGAATTAACCAACATTATATAACACATCCATCTATTTATATTTCAAGATATGCATAAAGCTTGGAGCTTTTTCAAAATTCTAATTCTCTTATTCCTTTCTAACAAATAATATTAACTTGTAACAACAAAAGTTCCTTTTGGCTGAAGTACTTTGAACTCCTTATATGAATCATCTAAACATGTGATGAAACCGACTCGTCTAACTCAGGAGTAAACTTGCTAACAAAGGATTCAGCTTTCTCATAACTAATTAAGTTTTTTATGAAATAACAATAGAAATAAAATCTTTGTGGAAAAATTTAAATTAAAAATAAAAAAATCATACCGAAAAGCAAACATAATTGAAATTAAAATTATAAAATGCAGTATGAGAAATTATATAAATTTTAAATGCAGTTTTTTTCTTTTCATAATTTGCACAATGTAAGAAATGGATATTAACCTTTTTAATGAAGAGCTTGCTTTCCATATGTGATCTGGATCTACACCAGCCGGATCTTTGTCTATGGCAACTAAAAATATTCCTTTCTCCAAGAATGAAGTATAAAGTGTTAGCAAACCCATCAATATAAAATATGTAAATGTTGTTAAGAAACCTCACTGAATATAAAAGAAAATGTATTCATAAAAATATATTACCCTAAAACTAATTTTGCATATCAAAACACATTCACACAATAATGGAATTAACATATCATGTTTTATTAAATTTTAATGCCAAAAACTGCTTAAATATATTACTAAAAAATTATTAGCATTCTTAATTTCAAAAGCACTAACTTAAAGAATTGCACACCTTTCTTCATTACAAATAAGGAAAATAAGTTTTGCTTCTGACAAAGCACAAAAGTTCTTTTAAACACAAGTCATCATGCAAAGGTATTTTTGCTTCTGATGTACAGAAATCCACAGTCTCTTGAAATAAATAAGTCCCTTCCATTAAAATTAATGCTCGGAAAATTTAATTTTGCTTCATATTAAATATGACCTAGCTACAATTAGAGGACTCGGACATAGTAATGTATCACATTTTTGAGTATAAGGTATTTATAATACAAGTCATAAAATTCAGTCTAAAAATAGCTCAGTAAAATCATATATTAATAAAATTTTATTTTGTTTCATATGACATATTTTTCTGAAAATTAAAAATATTTTTACTAAACTGGAAAAATATCTCATCTTTTTACCATTAGATTAAACTTTAAAAACAATGTACATATTACTTTAAAATTTCACCTAATGCAAATATAACATCCTCCATATTTTAGTGATCTGATCTTTCAACCTCTTATTCAGAACCAAAATGCATACATTCAGTGTGCAATCTCTCTTCACATATTCATGATTTCAATCAAAATTCAAATTCAATTTCCCTGATTTTCCATGATCAAGGGGGAAACAATTTGTTAGATAAAAAATAACGAATTAGTTATAAAATTAAATACGAGTTACTAAATAATTTAATGTTTTTACTATAAAATACAATAGGTACTATTCCGTTTTCAGGACCGTAAAAAAATTGCAGCGAAAATGTATGCGTATGCGCTGATTTCCAGATTGCTTAAGTTTATATAGTTCTATATTTCTTAAGACACCATTGAATACTAGTTGAATTTTAGATCCTTTTTTTGATTTTAAATTATTTTTTTGATATCCCTAATGGATTTTAACAATTGGGAATTGCCCATGACGAAAGTCTGCAATAATTTTGGTAAAGTGCAGAATCACCCACTGCTTGACACGTTTTTAAGATTGCTCAACCATCCCTCGGTATCCTTTACCATCGACTATTTCACTTAAAAACAAATTCAGATTGCACAAAAATGGCACTGCGCACACTTTTTGAACTTTATCTATGCACACATCACCCTATTTTACTTTACAAGTAAAAGAAAATTGAAACAAAAATCCCGTTTGTTTTTTACCCTTGTAAAAAGCGGCAAACAATAAGGCACAAAATATCTGCACTTTCCACCGAGTTTTTTTCAAAGAAGGCATCTTCATTCTAGAAACTTATGTTTGAACAACCAACGATATTAATTAGCTTTTCGATACTCATTAGCGAATAGCGTGCAGGCATCCATTCAGTTATGTTTAGGCAATTTTTATATAAATTATAATAATGATCGGAATAGTTTAGTTACTCTTATGCTTCCCTTCAGTCATGTTTAGCCTTTTTATCTAATTATAATAATAAAAAAGTATTATATGAAATTAACCTTTCATCTAAATTAAAAACATCATCTTAGATGGTTATTTACTATTATACTTCCTTTCTTGCGTTAGGGTTGCCGCAATTATTTTTGGCAGCACTGGTATCAACAATAGTTTGGTTATTTTTTACGGCCCTTAAAACGGAATAGTACCATACAATACAATTACTAATAACAAAATAATAATGTACTTACGTATTAAAGCAACCCCCTCAGTATAAGTTGTCAAATTTTCAGAATGTATCAAACTCTGGCTGTCATGGGCATAACCATTCTTCTGACAAAAATGCTCATAAGAATAACTTCAGCAATGCCGCCATTTTCAAATGCATTCTTTTTTTTTTTTTTTTTTTGTATTCCAAGTTCCAAAGGTTTTTGAATAAATGTGATATTTTTTACCTAAACATAGTTTTAAAATATGAGCTTTGCTAGCAATGGAAAAAATGCAGTAAATCAGCAGGAATACAGAATTTTGCTGAAATTTTTCTAAAGGAAACAATAAAGAAATTCATTTCCCAGGTAGCCACTTTTGCCGAGGTTTGTGCAAAGCAGTCTTCACAATTTTTTTTTTTTTTTTTAAGTAAAAACAGATCACTGTGCACTTCAAGAGATAAATATCACATTGAAATTAAAGACTTGAATAAGAATACAAATGTTTTATTTTTTTAATGTATCACACAATCCTTATTTAATAAATAAAATTTGCATTTTAAATTGCTAAAGTATGTTTTTTTTTCATATATTGATAATGTTTACAGATTATAAATATCAATATTTGGGAGTCTTTCTAAAAAACTGCACCCAATTGGTTTTGTTAATACATTAAGTACCAATAATAATTTATCTTACAACCATAAAGCAAATGAAAATATCAGATGTATACATATAAACCCTTCAAAAAGTTCTAAGCACTGCATACAAAAAGTGAAGAACAACTTGTTGACGAGTGCAGAATAAAGTTATTGGTTCATAAACATCTTTTTAAGAAGAAAAATGAGTAATCATTTTTCGGCTAATCTTTGGAATAGGTAGTTTGGCGACATTTTGGTAAGGCGATAAAGGTTACTAGCTAGGACTTTAGCAGTGTACATGGATAAAGTCAAGAGTGTGCGCAATGCCATTTTTGTGGCATTCTGATGTTTTTTTAAGTGAAAAAAGGTCGACATGTACTTGGATACTGTGTATGGTGCTTGTAATTTGCGCCATTTCCAACCTGCACGCACAATAGTGGTGATGCGTAAACTGAAAGTAGACAAAGTCTGAAGGGTTTAAATCCCTTTTTATTAAATTAGAATTACAAGCGTGCTCTTGACGCTCACAACACGCGACCCGGCAGAAAATAAAATAAGAAACAAAAAGAATAATCCCAAGTGACTACTACGAGGCTCCAAAACATAACTAACCTACCGCGTTAAGATACCGCTGACAATTCAGCACTTCTGAATATTACGTGAAGATAACATCTACGCGGCAAGCACACAGGCCGAAAACCGTGGTTTCAATTCTAACTCCACCTCCCCTCGTGAAGCAGAAAGCAGCTCGAACGTTTCCTTCTATTAACTCAGTTACTTCCGTGACATTGATCCTTGAGCGTTCTACTAAAATTACATCTTGGATGGCATTCCAGGGAAAGTAAGGCTGACAGAAAGATAGTTAAACTTAAAATAAATGTAGTTAAAAAAATAAAACCCTACAGTGCAGTTTCTTAAAAACGCGGAAAAGCAGTCTGCTCTATTCTGCACTTTCTCCGACTTTTCGGCACCTAATCTTTGTTCATGATTAAGCACTTTTGTCTCAATAAAGTTCTAACATAACGTAATTCGGCTAGCAGATTGTTGAAAAAAATGTTGAGTTAAATAAAAATGCCTTTACTTCGTGAAAACAAAATGGCGTCCAAACAAAAACTAGCAGGTTGCTGTAGTAGAAAATTCTGTATTCCTGCCAAAAAATCGCCAAGTTACCATAATCCAAAGATTAGCCCATTTTTCTTCCAAAAAATGTCCACTCTTTGTTTACTTTCAAGAGGGATAATTTTTGTTTGTTGGGTATTATTTCAAACATGAATTTTTTATTATATGTAAGAATTGATTTACACTTCCCCAAATTTCTGGAAAAGTTTTTTTTTTTCTCTCTTTCTAAGTGAGTAAAACCATAATATTTTATCATATTTTATAAAGGTACTTACATATTATCCTGTTGACAATGAAAGTTAGCTACCATCAAACCATAATGTTGCCAGAGATCCTGCCAAAGTTAAGTGTTCTCGCAAAATTCTTATAGTACTGAATTGTACTTATGAACTGAAATGAACTTAATAGTGATTGAATTTTTACTTGGTTGGTTAATCCTTCCCTATTGTTTTGAGGTGTTTGGTATTGTTTGGTATCAGTGAAAGGCATTTGACTATCTCTAGAGTTCAGAAATTACTGAACTAAGATTTAAGTAATTAAGACACAATAATTCTGAATTAGTAAGATTTAAGTGTTTTCAAGAAAGTCAAAGGATATAGCATTCTTTTATGGAGAGATAATACTTGTAGAATTTGAAAATGATTTGTATATTCAGAGTTTATTGAAAAACTAACATTTTTGATTTTATATAAAAAACCAGGGATGACATCTAATTTCAGTGCAAAGACAAAATGAAAGAAAATTCTGTATTCCTGCCTTAAGCCCATATCATACGGCGTTTGTTTCACACGAACAACTGTTTCGGACAATTTTTCTGCCTGGTGTACTATTGAAAGAAAGACATGCAACTTTTTCGCTTCCTTTTCAAAAAAGTTGCAGTTGTTCGTTTTCAACCATCAGCTTATCAGTGTCAATGCTGTTAGCTTGTTATAATGGAGAACGTTTTCCCTTTTGTTAACCCTAAAGCGATCTGTGGTGATTGGCTGTTGTGACAAAGCAGAAAAATTGTTCCAAACAGTTGTCCTTTCGAAACAAGCCGACGTGTGATAGCAGCCTTAAAGAGCTTTGAAGTAACATAATTTGCTAGAAATGATATTTCTGCAAATTTGTTTATCTCAGGGGTTCTCAATCGGTGGTATGCAAGAGAAAAATAGGTGGTACACAAAGAAGCTAAGTATTTTTAAGTATTAAATTAAAACCCCAACATCCTGATCAAGTTCTTTCTCTAACACTTGTAAATTTATGCCATCTGAGCCTTGTTCAAGAGTGGTGGTGGTAGTACTTTGTAGTGATGGTACCAAAGGTTTTTTCAATTTTTGTTTAGATGGTACGCATCAATCAAAAGGTTAAGAACCACTGATTTAACTCAACACCAGTGTCAAGATTTCTGATATTATACGAGCTTATTTTAATATATATAGTTGTATTCCACCTTATAATCTTCCAATACTAGATAATTCAAAACAATCCACTG